CAAGCCAGGCATTTCTTTGAAACTCCAAGCAAAGACATCCCTAAACTCCTTGAGTAACTCAATATAGGAGCTTTCTTCAACAACTTCTAGTAAAGCACTTAGGTAGGTGGGTCTTGGTTCTTCATCAGTGCTAACGTTAACTTCTTTTAAGGCATCAATCTTTGCCTTTACCCCTTATTCAAGTTTCGGCGGAGCATCTTTCGCATCTGCATCTTCTTGAGGGTCCCCGTCGTTGAAGGATATATGATAACATGGTGAGACATCGTCCAATTTCTCGGCATCCTCTATTAGAGATGAAACATCGTGCTCGCCTTGTGCAGTAACATGATACAAATAACCCACACTTTCTTCATCTTCATCACGTTCTTTAGTGTAGACCAAAGTGTATGGCTTCACCTTTAGAACCTCATACACGAAACCATGACTTTTGTTTATCGCCTCATTCTAGAAGGAACCAGACTTTGGAAATCCTTAGAGATCTTCCAAATTTTGGGCGAAGTAGGTGTCTTTGTGTTCTGATAATTTCTATGGAACTTATTCCCTTTCTTTAATGGACCCAATCTCTCAAAAATGGAAGTCCTCACAGTTGATTCTCCAACTCGATCAAAGATGGAAGGCTTGTTTAGAAGCAGCAGATTCATCTTCTACAGTGATATGATTGTTGTGGAGATGCGCACTGGTGACAGTTGCTTGTATCCCAAACCTTCACGGGGTTGCCTCGTCGCAGCTTCTGATGGGAGCTTCCCTAACTTTGAGGCTCATGAGGATGATGCACCTCCATTCTTGCTTTCTTCAAATGCTTAACTGGATTCCATCTCCTTGGTCTTTTCACCATCATTTTCCTTGTTGGTTATTCTATTGATTCTTTCATGGTCTCCTTTTGTGGTGCCTACGGCGAGTCACCAATGTCCAACCTTCATCATTGTGGTGGTCTACTTCGAATTTGTTATTCTCCAGTAATTCTTCATCTTTGATTTCTTTTAAATTGCATAGCTCAGCTAGACTGAATGAGCCAAAGGTGATAGAGACTTGGTTCGCACCTGCCTTCTCATCTTCAAGCAGGATCTTCTTTTCACGGGCCAAGTCCATAAATTTGTCCTTGATGACAAAGCACTTCTCCAGGGGGTGCACAAGTCGGTGATATTTGCATTAATTTGGGTCATTTATTTTCCCACCTTCATTTGGTCGCTTCATCTCCGAAAGCTCAATAAGATTTAACTCGAGGAGTTCTTCAAAAATGGTTGGCACATCAGAATCCAAAAATGGGTACTCTTTCTCTTGCATTTCTTTTAGAGTAAACTTTCCACTTGGCTTATCTTGAAACAAAGTGGATTTCATACTCTGCTTCTTGCTTAACTTCGTCGTGAACTTCACAGGTGATGTGTTGACATTCATAGCTTCTTTGCTTTCAGATTTGGGTAAAAACTTGCTCTATTTCCTGACTTCTTGCTTGTCATTCCCTTTGCGAGACTCATAGATAGGCAGCCTTTCGTTTCCGGCGGAGGCCATGCTTAGTTCCATGTCATGGGCACGAGTCGCAAGTTCTTCAAATGTGCTTGGCTTGACACCTTGCAAGATGTAGCTGAGTCCCTAATGCATGCCCTGGATGCACATCTCCATGCCAGAAGCTTCACTAAGCCTCTCTTTGCAGTTGAGGCTTGCATTCCTCCAACGATTGATAAAGTCGATAACTGGTTCACCCTTTTGTTGACGAGTATTTGTAAGTTCTATCATACTCACAGTATGTCTCGTGCTATAAAAGCAAACGAGGAACTCTTTCTCTAGATCCCAGCTATCAATAGATCCGGCCTAGAGGTCCGTGTACCAGTCAAAAGCATTTCTTTTTAGCGAGCAGACGAACTGCTTGATGAGGTAATCTCCATAAGTCCCAGCATTGTTGCACGTCTCAACGAAGTGCGCCACATGTTGCTTTGGATTACCTTTTCCATCAAACTGTTGAAACTTTGGAGGTTGATAACCAGCAGGCATCATCAACATATCGACCCTTGCAGTGTACGGTTTTGCATATGTAAGGGAGGACTTGGCAGCAACTTCATACTTGTCCTTAATGGTTCCTTCAATGAACTCCTTCAGTTGATCGACTAGAATCATCCCTTCAGATGAGATAGGGATAGCCTTAGCGGATGTTACTTGTCTTTGGGGAGAATCACTCTCTGGAACTTCTGGGAGCTTCCATGTGCATGGGTCTATTCTTCTTCCATTAAGATTCCTACTCTATCTGTTAGCTTGTCGATTCTGGACTTGATTTTGCATGCATTTGGTCAAGCCAACGATTGTCGTGGATGATGAGTGTTTGTCACCATGGCTTGCATGATTGTAGTGGATGATGGAGAGTAGCATGGATTTTCACATAGATTGATCCTTGATTTGCTCACGCTATATGGTGTAAGTGGGGAGGATCCATCACTTGAAGCATCATCATCTTCCTTCACAGTAGAGTGCTTGGATCCGAGAGGTCAAGCAGAGCAAGAGTTTTCTTGATCTTTTCAGCAACATTGCTTCCTCCTTCAGGTGCGTTTGTGGAATATTTTGCTCCTTTTGAGGATGAAGATCCGAAAATAGGGGTTGATGCGAACGGCACTTTGGGTGCTTGTTGTCCTAAAGAGCTTGCTTTGCTCCTCGTAACTGGTCCGAAGCTTCCAAAGGTAACATCGAGGATGCTTTCCACATCAGCATAGAACCTGGAGTTAGCAGCCCTGGTGGATGTTTATCTGGAGTTAATTTTCTTCAAAGCCATTTCAATGTTCTTGAAATTTGGTGATTGAAAAGTTGAGATGGGAGGTAGAGATTGTTCCACTGGGCGTGCTAGAATTTGTAGACAATAAATTTGCGTCGAAAAAATAAAATCAAGACCGAAAATATTGCAACAATCATAGTATTTGATTTCAAATAATATGAGTGTACAATCTTTATGAATCCTCTGATTCTACTTTTTCAGTATAAATTCAAGGGCCTTTGAGCTTGATCTTGAATTTTAATTTGATTTATCCGTCGCAAACACTTTGATGTTGCCACGAATTTTATCACAAACAAGTAGCCTTGATCTTGAACGCCTTGTATTTGATTTGACTTCGTTCTTGATCTTGAATACTTGAATTGTTCTTCGTTCTTGAGCTTGAACTTGATTTGTTCTTCGTTCGTGAACTTGGACTTGATTTCTTGAACTTGAACTTGGTTGCTTGAAGCCTGAAACTTGTAGAGAAATTTGCGGCTTTTGATCCATGAGCTCTCTCTTACTTCTTGTTATAACTTCCGGTGTCTTTTCTGAGTTATGAAGACCCTTATCTATAGTTGTGGGAGGGAGGAGTTGTGATAAGAACAAACTCTTTCCGACCAATCAAATTGAAGTGTGACATGGCTGCATTTGATTGGCCAGAACATGTCATTTGCACACGTCGTGCGGTTTCATTTGCCTTCTAATGTGACTTGACATGCCTTATCATTTTGACACGTGGCATGATCCTATTGGCTCTTCCGTTTAACTTGGCGTGCCACGTCATTTGACACATGGCACCAAACTGGGCCTCTAGGAAGATGACATCTTGGGCCTAATGAAGTGGGCTCGTCACTTTAGCCCAATTAAATGGGCTAGCCCAATGGATTAAGACTTATTTATTTAATCCATTTATATTGAACTTATACAATTAATTCAATTGTATTAGCCCATATATTTATTTGAACTAGTATATTTAAATATAATTCAAATTATTTATTGGATTTGAATCCAATAAATTTTACATGCTTACATCCCCATAAGTAATTATTTTCTATCTTTTGGTAAAAAAATATTTTTTTATATATTACTAGAAAATGACTTCTTGGTAGAAAAAATATTTGTAGGGTTTCCCATTAAAATGATTCCAAGAAAGTAAGTAATTTTCTCCATTATTTTTCGGTATTTAATTGATACGCAAATCATTTTTTTCCAATTTAATACTTTTTAAAGTATTTAAATAACTATCAAAAAATTTGGATAGTGTTTTGAAAAAAAAAAGTTCGATTATTAGATAATGATAATAATGTCCAAGTATTGGTTGGCACAAGTGATAAGGATTAAAAATTGAAATTGTTATAAATGATAATAACTTATTCATGAGTGACGGAAGACATAATTTTTGTTTCGCCTTAACTTTTTTCGATTATCAATCACTTAAAAATGAGTGAACAAATATTTTCTATATACCCAAAGAAAACCACAAAGAAAAAGATGAAAAGGAACTTAAGAGGAACTCTGGGTCCGTCTAAACTTGAAAATTTGTTGGCCCAGTCAGTTTTAGAAAAGGAATCTTTACATAAATAGCCAGCTTGATTTATTATTTGTATTTTCTAGCCAATATACACAATACATGATATGCATATATTATATATATGAATTATACATATTTTTTCTCACNTTCCGTTATACATGAATTGGATACCTGAGAGGAAGTCCAGATTTGCCGAGCCGATTTTCAGCTAATTTGAGCTGTATTTCTTCTCCCACCACTGCTTTTCACCATTACTTCTCCTTTTGCTTGCATGCACTCTTCGATTTCTGTTACTGTTTTTGAGGTAATTAAATAATTTCTTACTTGGGATTCTCTTAATTCAAGACCAAACCTAGAACAAGCCCAAGCCCAATTGTCAAACTTGGAGGAAAGTATGGGTAGAGTCGGATTTAAATGGTGGAATGGAAACTATAAGAGTAGTTATAATTTATAAAGGCGAAATACATAAACGGCCCTTCAAGTTGTCCACAACGGTCAGTTGAACAACTCAACTGAGACTATTTCCAGTTAAACACTTCAAGTGGCTATTAAGTAAGTCAAGTAAACACCTGAGTACAGCAGGCCATATGCGTGAGTTGCACTTGCGGATAACATGGCAAATGAACCAATCAAAAAATGACACGTGTAATTTTGCCATAAGAATTTGACACATATAATTAACAAAACAAAATATTTGAAAAAGAAAAAAAACTTTTCTCCTAAACCAGTTCCTCCTTCCCTAACTCTTCTTCCAAGCTTTCTCAAACCCTTCCCCTTACTCGTTGAACCCATGACCACCATTTCATCTGCAAGAAATTGGGCAAAGAAAAATTTAGATTGAACCTTGAAGGTGATGAAGATTAATGGCGAAATCTTGAAACTGAAAACACCAGTAATAACGTTGGACGTAGTAAAAGACTACCCAGGTCATGTTTTACTGGAATCAGAAGCAGTGAAGAAGTTTGGTGTCAGAGCTAAGCCACTGAAACCAGAACAAGAACTGAAGCCAAACAAAATATATTTCCTTGTTGAATTGCCTTTGTTTCCTAAAGAAGAAATTAGTAGAGTTCCAAGAAGAGTGAAATCTGCTGTTCAGATGAGTGCAAAGGGTCGACTCGAGTGTCTCATGTTAACACGAAGATCGGCTTCTGATTTGTCGATTTCGAAGCCGAATAATGGACCGATTCAGTTGAAGATGAAGTTGCCGAGGAGTTTAGTTCAGAAGCTGGTAGAAGAAGGGGAAGTAAAGATGAAGGTATGTGGGTCCACAAAAATAAAGGTTATTTTTTAAACTGAAAAGAAAAAGAAAAGAACACAATTCATGTCCTCACGCGCTCCATTTGTAGTGAGACACAATTGATTTGCCGTGTCAACACAAAGTGTTTACTTGACCTACTTAATAGCCACTTGAAGTGTTTAACTGGAAATAGTCTCAGTTGAGGTGTTCAACTGACCGTTGTGGACAACTTGGAGGGACTGTTTATGTATTTCGCCATTTATAAATAAACAATATCTACCAACAATTAGTTACTACCGAGTAGGCAGAAAAAATAATCAATGATATACAATATTCAAAAAATTTAGGCAAAAATATTTTTTTTCCAAAGGGTGTGTTTCAAATTCATTCAAAACACATAAATAAAGCAATGAACAAAATTTAAGGGAGATTAGAGGTTTTCAAATAAATGTTTCCCTTATATAAACTTCTTTTAATATTCCTACCCAATCACTTACAATTCTCTTCTGTTAACTTTGACATTTAATAATAAAAATAAGCACTTTTAATTTCCGAAAAATTGGATTGTCTGGACATTCTTTAACTTCAACGTGACTTCTTTTAAAAAGAAAATGGAGTCTTATCTTTTTGAATAAAAAGGTCAATTCTAGAAAAGTTAAAAGTGGAATATTGTAAAATAGACTTTAAAATCTTAAATGTTTAGCTCAATTAAAGTTTAATATTATTGGTGATTTTAATTTTATCTTGTAGATAAATATAATTTATCCTACATAGAATTATTTTTTAAATAAATAATTTAACTATTGAATCTAAATATAAATTAAGATTTGCTTCTTTTTAAAATTGCAATATGTTACCGTATATTCAAATTTTGTGATTTGAATTTTAATCTAATGATTATGAGTTTGTCTATTTCATCATTCACGAGTCAATTTTCAAACCAATAAAAACTATAATTAATCTCATTATATATATGAATTATAATTAATTTCATATTATATTGAACTCCTTTCCTACTCAAAATATCTTTTTCTTTATCGATTTATGTATTGTAGTATTTGAAAGCAACGCTCAATAAGCCGAACAAATAACTAAGAAGAGAGAGAGAGAGAGAGAGAGAGAGAGAGAGAGAGAGAGAGTAAGTATAGTGGTTGAAAAAAATTAATAACACTAACAATTCTTTAACACACAAATCAAAAATAAAATAGTGATCACTGATTTACCATTTAAAAATAGAATATGATTGGAAAAACAATAATTATTGAATATTTGAAATTTGGCATGAGCTAGCATCAAAAATACATATCAACAATATTTTACCGTGTGACGAATAATTAAGTCATTGAATTAACTAATTAGCAAAATAATCCAATTCGATTCTTTTAATAATTCATCAAAAATTATTTTCAAATTGACATAATAGGGTGCATAGCTTGTGCCCTTGAGAAGAGAATCGACGGCGTAAAAAATTAAAAAATAAGAGATCAGTTATAGTACAATATTAAGAGTCAAATTTATTAAATTGCTATTCATTAATTAATTCAACACTCTTCACTCTCTTAGATTATATTTTATAACTCAAATACAAATTTTTAATATAATATTTATATGATTTTTAAAAAGTATATTCTAATTGAGTTGGGTACATGCGTAACGCGCGTAACCTAAAACTAGTAAAATATAAAAATACTCACTAGTGTTTCTACAAAATGATCCAAAGGGCCTGGTGAATTGAAAAATTATATCAAAAAATAAGATGGAACTTTTACATTGTATAGCTGCTCACCACTAAAAAAGTAGCCGGTAGTTATATGATATATGGTAAAATTGATGTATACTTTTTTTTTTATATTGACTAACGGGTGTAGATATTTTTGCCCGCGCAATCAAATGTGTTAAAATAAAAAAGTGAAACAACCGAAAATGAAATAGCAAACATTTATTCAGGGAAACCTTCTACAGGCCTCAGAAACAGTAAAAATTGCGTGGGGTAGTCACTTTTTAAAGTAGTATTTACTTTTTATCCAGTATTTTTAATGCGGAGCAAAAGTAGCCACTAGTCTATTAAATTTAATATGAAAAGACGGTGTTACCTTTTCTTCTATCTCTTTTCTGTCCATGTTCTCTTCCTTGCCAGTGTACCTCCATGGCTTTGACCCCGCCGCACAGTAGTGAAGAACTTTCACCTTCTCAAGTTCCACATTCTCTGAGTGACGCCACAACATAGCTAATACCAAGTTGTACTTGTTTGGAATTGGCTTGTATACTGAAGAACACGTTCAACAAATCCTACAAAATAATTCCAACTCTGTAAACATACAAAAAGTATTAAATATTTATACTGAATTCACTGGTAGTCTTGAACTTAGAGTTCTAAGTTCAAAAAATAAGAACATGTAGTGAAAAGTGTTACAAGTTCAAAAGTTAAGGACAGGTTGTCCTAAGCTTATAGTTACAAGCTCAAAAACTAAGGACAAGTAGTCTTTAACTTAAACTTACAAGCTCATAAATTAAGGACACTTGGTCCTGAACTTAGAGTTGGAAGTTCAAAAATTAGGGACACTTGGTCCTTAACTTAGAGTTACAAGCACAGAAATTTAAGGACAGGTAGTCCTTAACTTAGAGTTACAAGCACAGAAATTAAGGACAGGTAGTCCTAAACTTCGAGTTCCAAGTTCAAAAGTTAAGGACATGTAGTCCTGAACTTAGAGTTACAAGTTCAAAAGTTAAGGACAGGTAGTCCTAAACTTAGACTTACAAGCTCATAAATTAAGGACAGTTAGTCCTGAACTTACAGTAACAAGCTCATAAGTTAAGGACACTTGGTCTTGAACTTAGAGTTGGAAGTTCAAAAATTAAGGACACTTGCTCCTTAATTTGAGCGAAGTTCTCTGCAATCCGCGTAGGTTTCAGCGAATTATAGCAGAAGGGTATTTTCATCTGGGCGGTAAAAGCTTATTAGAGCAGTGGCTAAAGACTAAAGGCATTTTAAACAGTGGCTTAAAAGTAATTACATGTCTTATTACTGGCTAACTGTGCATTTCTCTCTTAGAAACATGCCTATTTAAAGCCCAATGAGTTTTTCAGGAATTGGGAGAAATTCAAAAATAGCCAGATTTACAAGTGGACATTGAAAAATAGCCACAATTTCATTAGTAATCGAAATTTAGCCACTTTTCATGTAAAGATAAATTTGAACGAAAACACTGTTCAAAATCCGGAAAATATTCCAGCATAATATACTGGAGTTCCAGTATAATATATCGGTCCAGCATAATATGCTGGAAGTTCATACATAGGTGCTCCAACCTCCAGTATATTATGCTGGAACTTTTCGCGTGTTGGAGTTCCGGCATAATATGCTGGAAGTTCATACATAGGTGCACCAATTTCTAGTATATTATGCTGGAACTTTCGTGTTGTAACCAAATAGTGGCTATTTTTCAATGACTTTGCAAATGCTGGCTATTTTTTAATTACTAGTCCGAAAACTGACTAGCTCGTGCTATTTTTACTCAGGAATTGCTCCATTCCTTAGCGGTCCAAGACTTAAAGATGATGACGAAAGATCCACATCAATGGATCCATTTTCAGGCCCGTTTTGAACTCCAAAGTTTTAGATTCACTTTTTAACACTTATAATTATAGTTCACATTTGAACAACGTTGCTAATTGGTAAACTTTAGCGTCTACAATCAACATGCATTTTTTCTTCTAAAAGTACTTATGTACAATTGATTTTCCACTAGGAATATCAAACATAAGAAATTAACAGTCACGTTAGAATTATTGGAGTTGGCAAACATGTATCCATGACTGTCATTATATATTTGTTTACCCGTAAAATGATATACTTAGAGTTACAAGTTCAAAAGTTAAGGATAGGTAGTCCTAAACTTAGACTTACAAGCTCATAAATTAAGGACAGTTAGTCCTGAACTTACAGTAGCAAGCTCATAAGTTAAGTACACTTGATCTTGAACTTAGAGTTGGAAGTTCAAAAATTAAGGACACTTGTTCCTTAATTTGAGCGAAGTTTGAGCGAAGTTCTCTGCAATCCGCGTAGGTTTCAGCGAATTATAGCAGAAGGGTATTTTTGTCTGGGCGGGTAAAAGTTTATTATGGCAGTGGCTAAAGACTAAAGACATTTTAAACAGTGGCTTAAAAGTAATTACATGTCTTATTACTGGCTAGTGCACTTCTCTCTCAGAAACATGCCTATTTAAAGCCCAGTGAGTTTTTCGGGAAGAGATTTTTTCTTTCCTATACCATATATGAAACATTATTACCAAAAATGTGCATAGTTTCTAATTTACCCGCCCTGTCCACATTTTTTCTACAGTTATTATACCAATCATTAAATACTAATTAATAGTAGTTGAATCTTCCTAATTTGTCGAGCTAAAATTGAGGAACAGAATATTCTAAAAAGATTTGGCGTAAATCAGATCAAATCATATTCTTCCAGATATTCCTATTTAGGCGCGCTACAATTATGGAAGTAAATATTCTTCCAGATATTTTCACCATTGATAGCCATTAAAAATCTTGAAAGCTTTGAATTCAAATTTGGGTTTTCAAAAATCATTATTTGTTTGGATTGGGTGTCGTTGAAAATAATAGGGAATATGGTTTGGAGTTTATATCTCAATTTTGAGGGGTTTTGGTGAAGATTAGACTTGGTTTTGACTGAAATTCAGATTGAAACTCGAAGAAGAAGAAGAAGAAGAAGAAGAAGAAGAAGAAGAAGAAGAAGAAGAAAAAGAAGAAGAAGAAGAANATTGTAGATGCTTTATTTTCGTTTTACACAAATAAAAAACGGCTAAAACTTCTACAAATCTTCTGAAAAAACGTAATTATGTCAAAAATCACAATTATGCTACAATTGGATGGGAATTGAGATATAAAAATTCAATGTACCCGGTTTGTAGATATTTTGTAGATAAATTGTAGATTATTTGTATTCTAATTGTAGGTGCTTTGTTTTCTGTTTTCACAAATCAGAAACGACTAAAACTTCTACAAATCTTCTGCAAGAAACGCAATTATGTCGAAAATGCCAATTATGCTATAATTGAAATGGGAATTGGGATATTAAAATTCAATGTATCCAATTTGTAGATATTTTGTAGATAAATTGTAGATTATTTGTATTCTGATTGTAGATGCATTGTTTTCTGTTTTCACAAATCCAAAACGACTAAAACTTATACAAAATCTTCTGTAAAAAACAGTCTACAATTTATCTACAATTTTTCTATAATTTTCTACAATTTATCTACAATTTTTGCAATATGTCTTCTTCTTCTTCTTCGAGTTTCAATCTGAATTTCAGTCAAAACCAAGTCTAATCTTCACCAAAATCCCTCAAAATTGAGATATAAACTCCAAAATATATATCCAATTATTTTCAATAACACCCAATCAAAATAAATAATGATTTTTGAAAACCCAAATTTGAATTCAAAGCTTCAAAGCTTTTTAATGGCTGTCAATGGTGGAATTGCTGCTCTGTTGTCTCTTTGAAGGTTTGTTCTTCTTCATTAAGAAAATTTGAAGCTGAAGGTAAATGTGTGTATGAACTTTGAAGATTTGACTTCAATTTTGATGAACTTTGTTGTCCTTCATTGATGAACTTCAACTGGAGTAAAATGGGGAACCAACTTTGTTGAAGGGTTTCTTCAATGTTCTGTGAATTTAGAGGGAGAATTTGGTTTCAGAAGATGGAAAATGGTAAAAAGAACGTGGGTATGGGTAAAACGTGGGTGAGACTGATGGGTTAGGAGAGAGAAACGTGCAGATTCCTTTAATTAAGGAGTAAAAAATGTACAATTAATTATACACTTAATTAATTATGGTATAGAATTGGTAATTTGGTATACTAAGTGTAATTAAGTCAAACCTTAAACATTGAGGGTAATAAGGTTTCCTATGTGACATAGGAATATAAAAATCTCTTTCAGGAATTGGGAGAAATTCAAAAAATAGCCAGATTTACAAGTGGTCATCGAAAAATAGCAACAATTTCAATAGTAACCGAATTTAGCCACTTTTCATGTAAAGATAAATTTGAACGAAAACGCTGTTCAAAATCCGGAAAATATTCCAGAATAATATACTGGACTTCCAGTATACTATACCGGAGTTCCAGTATAATATACCGGTCCAGCATAATATGCTGGAAGTTCATACACATGTGCTCCAACCTCCAGTATATTATGCTGGAACTTTTCGCGTGTTGGAGTTCCGGCATAATATGCTGGAAGTTCATACACAGGTGCACCAATTTCTAGTATATTATGCTGGAACTTTCGTGTTGTAACCAAATAGTGGCTATTTTTCAATGACTTTGTAAATGCTGGCTATTTTTTTAACTACTAGTCCGAAAACTGACTAGCCCGTGCTATTTTTACTCAGGAATTGCTCCATTCCTTAGCGGTCCAAGACTTAAAAGATGATGACGAAAGATCCACATCAATGGATCCATTTTCAGGCCCGTTTTGAACTCCAAAATTTTAGATTCACTTTTTAACACTTATAATTATAGTTCACATTTGAACAACGTTGCTAATTGGTAAACTTTAGCGTCTAAAATCAACATGCATTTTTTTGGGGGCATTTGCATCTATACCCGCTTTTTGTGTCACGTTTTAACTTGTACCCGCTTTATAAAAAAAATTGCAAACGTACCCGCTTTTTCGCATAACTTCAGCATACGGGGCTGAAGTAGCAAAGGCAATCACGCAAAACTTCAGCATTCTAGTAGCCGGGCCTGAAGTTCAGCTCTAGACCTGAAGTTTTTGTTTTGTAACTGGCAAACTTCAGCTCTAGAGCTGAAGTTTTTGTTTTGTAACTCGCGAACTTCAGCTCTAGAGCTGAAGTTTTTATTTTTGTATTTTTATTTTGTAACTGGCGAACTTCAACTCTAGAGCTAAAGTTTTTATTTGTAACTGGCGAACTTCAGCTCTAGAGCTGAAGTTTTTGTTTTGAAACTGGCAAACTTCAGCTCTAGAGCTGAAGTTTTTGTTTTGTAACTGGGGAACTTCAGCTCTAGAGCTGAAGTTTTTGTTTTGTAACTCGCGAACTTCAACTCTAGAGCTGAAGTTTTTGTTTTTGTATTTTTGTTTTGTAACTGGCGAACTTCAGCTCTAGAGCTGAAGTTTTTATTTGTAACTGGCGAACTTCAGCTCTAGAGCTGAAGTTTTTGTTTTGAAACTGGCGCGCGAACTTCAGCTCTAGAGCTGAAGTTTTTGTTTAGTAATTGGGGAACTTCAGCTCTAGAGCTGGAGTTTTTGTTCTATATTTGATTAACTTCAGCATGTTGTAGGCCTCTTCGGCTTATTAATTAGTCTCTGCAGCCTTGCTCTTCTCAACCTTGGATTAACTTCAGCATGTTGTAGGGTATGTTTCTTGCTACAGAAAGCTACTTTGTATACTCATTATTTACTTCTAAGCTTCAAGAATCCACTAATACCCAACAAAAAACTATTATAGNATCAAATCAGGTACGTACAATATGGGTGTTTAATTTGGTACAATGAAAACTGTTTTCTCGTTTCACCAGCAAAAAGCAATATGCAACACGGCGAGGAGGAAGCATAGACAAAGTCAAGAAGGAGAAGAGGAACTAAAATCCATACAAACAAGTACATAGCCAATCATTAACATTAACTACATTGCTAATCTTGAGAAAGAAGAAGAAGAAGAAGAAGAAGAAGAAGAAGAAGAAGAAGAAGAAGAAGAAGAAGAAGAAGAAGAGGAAGATGGAGGAGGAGAAAGGGGGCTGAAGTTATTTAAAAAGTAGGTACAAGTTAAAAGTTTTAAAAAAAATGAGTATAGGTTAAATAGGGGCGACCAAATAGGGCGCCCCGTGCAATTTTTACCACTTTTTCTTCTAAAAGTACTTATGTACAATTGATTTTCCACTAGGAATATTAAACATAAGTAATTTACAGTCACGTTAGATTTATTGGAGTTGGCAAACATGTAAATCCATGACTGTCATTATATATTTGTTTACCCGTAAAATGATATAGTTAAATTCGTTACGTGATTTATTGACAATCGAACTGATTTGATCAAAAAATGATAAATAAACAAGATTAAAAATAAGACTTAATGATTAAAATCAGAAGAAATGACAAGCTTGGTACCGAGAGCAGTACCTCCGAGGACAAAAATAAGAATAATATAAAGAGCAAATAAAGTTATTTTATTGGGCTTGAGAAAGGAATATAACATTAGTTTTGCCAAGGATTTCGTGTTACAATGGCTGTTGAGCCTATTATGTATAACTATACCTAGGGAAATAAGATTCTAGGATCAAGCCCCTCTTAAATGACAATAAAGGGGCCATTGATGAATATTTAATGGTAGGCCATGAATGCAAATATTCTCTGCAACGCCTGCCCATTTACTGCCAGAGAATAGTTTTCATTGAATGCTATCCGATGGCAAGCATTTGATATGCTCACGTTGATCATGCTTCCTTCGAGGTTTATGCGATGTCAATTGTTGTTGTTGTTCCCGGTACTAGTTATTACACGATTTGCTTTCTACCTGTCTTTAGTTCCACGTGTCACGCTACCATTCGATCACATAATCTAAACCAAATTTAGCCTATACAATATTGTTAGTCAATTTATTTTTAAAAATCCCGGTGTCTTACAAATTACCAAAATAAAATAAAAAATATACCACATTGTATCAATAATAAAATAAGAGTTTAAGTTATATAAATATTCAATTAAAGTCTTCTCTATGTGCTTGAAATTTTCTTTTTCCATCTCAATCCACTAAGAAGGTATCCAAAAAAATTCGAGATACAATTTTCCTTTTCCTCATCATTAAAAAGCTTAGATGCCGCTGCTGTTCTTTTCCAATTCATTTCTTTCAATTAATTTTATAAATTAAGCAAAAGGAAATCTTTCGTGTATCTCCTTTTGTTGATTTCTTCATCGTGAGTCTGCGACACAGCTCAGTTATAAGAGCATAATTAACGGCCAGTTAAACTGATTATATTTAGCCGGATTTGTCGTAAGAAAGCAGTATTTTGTAAAGTCATTAAACGTGAAATTGACATGCAAACAATTGCTAGTGTTCTGGGGGGGCTTTTTTTTGGTATGAAAATGAAATGAAACCACAGAACATGTGACAATGGTCCCTTAAATCCAAGGATGTAATTGATCAATCCCTGTCGCCAACCCCCAACAAAAGTACTTCAATGGCCGAAAAAAATATTTAACTAAAAGAACTATTTTTCTTGTACGTAATTTTTTTTTTTAACCCTTTTTGCTTGTATATGTTCTGCATTTCAATCAGTTAACTAAAAGCAGTTTATGATATTTTATATGCATTTTAAAGGCAGTAAATTTTGCATAATGAACTAGTGAAAATAAGAGTCTTTTCTCAAGAATTTTCTAACTCAAGATGAAAAACAAAATAAAGCTTTTGACTAAAGTGATCTACCTAACTCAACTGGTAAAGAGGTTATGAATGGACCCTCACACCTCTTCTTTTTCTTTATTGCCCTACATTTTGAAAGCATTAGTCTGACTTTAAGTACATAGAAAGCAAAGAAAAGAAAGGAATAAGACACAACACAATTGTCTTTTGACTATGGACCAAATCATGCTCTTTATTTTCTGCCTATAATTTAGGTGCTTAATTCCCTTGTTGGACATATTCAATAGGATGCACATGCAGCATGCACTAAAAACCATTATTTCCCCTTACCCCACAAATCACAAATTCTCTCTCAATTCCTCAATCCCCGCACATCATCACGGAAAACTTTCACATCCCTACTTACTACTTTATATAAACTCTGTACAAGAATCAAGAAAATTAGAGAACCAAGAAACCAACACCTCCATATTTCACTTTCCATTTTTTTCTATTTTCATTATGGGTAATTTCACCAAGCAAGTGACATTCTTCTTGTTCTTGGTGATCTCAACTCCACTAGTGCAAATTGAAGGTAGAAAAAGCAAGTTTATGATCATACCTGCATCTCCTGCACCAGCTCCAACTCCAATCAATGAAATTAGTTTTCCTCCATTTTCATCCCTTAGTCCAACTCCAACTCCAACACCAGCACCAGCACCAGCAACAGCAACAGCACCAACACCCTTCTTTAATGATTTTGCGTTTCCTCCATTGTCATCTTTAAGTCCAACACCAGCACCAGCACCAGTAGGTAGTGTTCAAGATCCTGATGTGAACGGCGTACCAACTCCTGCAATGGCACCACAAGGGAGTGGTCAAGATCCAGAGGAAGTTGGCATTGAAGCGCCAGCACCACTTTTAACTGATACCCCCTATGGACTTTATGGTCCTCATTCTCAGGAAATTCCTTCCACTGTCACAAGTCTTGATGAGGTTGAAACTCAAACTCCTGCCAAGGAATTCCAAGGTGCTAGATTTAATACAGATGACTCCTACAATAACAATGGTTATGATTCCAACAACAACTATGGCTTCTCTGAAAATTACAACAATAATGGCTACTCGGAGAATAACAACAACAATGGCTACTCTGAAAATTACAACAACAACAATGGCTACTCTAAGAATTACAACAACAACAACAATGTTTTCTCCGAGAATTACAACAACAATGGCTACTCCAAGAATACCAACAACAACGGCTACTCTAAAAAATTCAACAACAATGGCTACTCCCAAAATTACATGAACAGCAACAATGGCTTCTCCGAGAGTTACAACAACAATAACAACAACAATGTTTTCTCCGAGAATTACAACAACAATAACGATAATGTTTTCTCCGAGAATTACAACAACAAAAATAACAACAATGATTTCTCCGAGAATTACTACAACAACAATGGCTACTCTGAGAACTACAATGAGGCTAGCAGCTACAATAACAATGGCAATACAGTGGAGAGACAAGGATTAAGTGACACAAGATTCTTGGAAAATGGCAAATACTATTATGATATCAAGAATGAGAATCCCAACATCAACAATGGCTACTCCGACAACTACAATCATGTTAGCAGCTATAAGAATAACAATAACAATATGGTTGAAAGGCAAGGATTGAGTGACACAAGATTCTTGGATAATGGCAACTACTTTTATAGTAACAATGGTGAGAAAATGTCAATGGAAGAAACTGAAAGACAGCAGGAATATCCAGACACTGAAGATCAGTATGAACTTCCTTGAAGATAAACATTATGAAATGGTCCAAAGAAAGGGACAAACGCAGGGGACATGGAAATTGATTTTGTTTTAAGTTATTTTGAGTGTTTGTGCATTAGTTCCACTTGTGTCTGCAAACACCTTTTTTTTCCTTAGGTATAGTTGACCGAGGGAACTTTGTGTTGTTTAACACTTTTGGATTTTTTAAAAACTTTTTATAATGATCTTGAATATAAACTTGTAACATTATGATACCTTCCTCTGCTACAAATACAACTTATACAAGTATACAACTACTTTAACTGGGTTCCGATCCGCTCTTAAAATATACTCCCTCCGGTTCACAATAAGTGTCCAATTTACTTTTTCATTTTGGTTCAAAATAAGTGTCCAGTTATGTAATCAAGAAAGAATTCAATTTGTTTTTACTAAATAACCCCTATGTACATATCCCTAAAAAGTTTTCTTACTCCTCATATTAAATGTTTAATTAGGAGTAATTTAGTCATAGTACGTATTTTTGTATAGAATTTAGTATTTTTTTAATAGGCGTGTTAAAAGTAAATTGAACACTTATTGTGAACCGGAGGGAGTATGTTATATTAATAATGTTTTTTAAAAATTGTACTGTAATAAACAAGATAGCAGCTTTTACTATTGAGCTACCACACTTTTATCTAGGCAAATAATCTGTCACTTCGTCCAATAAAGTAAAATTATTTTTTAGCAAGTGTTATTAGGCAAATATTTAAAGAAAAACATACACATATTTGCCGTGACTAAAGGTGATTTCAGCTGAATTTCCTTCCTTTTCTCCACCCAGCTGCTTTTAGCAGACGTTTGGACATAAAAATTTAGTTTTAAAGTTAAGTTGAAAAATAATATTTGAAATTATGTTTGAATATGTAGTTCACTTGGAAAAATATTAAAGCTCTGTGAGTGAATGAGGATTTATGGATTAACGGTAGTATCGCATGTCAATTCCTACATTTATCGCAGATGCATGGTCTTCAAAGGCTTTGCTCGAAATTACTCGAAAGTCGATACTTTATTATCTTAATATTGTTGTATAAGCACTTCTATTGTTGTTGCTGCTAATAAATTGGAAATTTGTAATCATATATAAGTACACAGCAATCCCCTTGTGTAAACTTGCTCATATTATGAGAGTTCAAGTCCAAAAAGAAAGAGGATTACGATCGACAACTTAATGGGAGTAAAACTATTCAATTCATAATAAACTCTTACGATATTAAATGTCTAGATAAAAAATATACGAGTAATATATATTATCTATAGAAGATTCATAGCCAGGAAATAACACATGTTGTTATTGTATACTTAAAGTAAACATTCGTGTGGCTTACTCAAGTAACTTGGCTTGAAAGTTTTACTTGAGTTGCCCAGTAATACTGATTTAACTGGACTCAACAAGTAATGGTGTGATTCAAATGAATTCATAACAGTAACGTTTAGCCCATAAGCAAGTAACTCACTAACTCAAAGTTACTGTGCAACCTAGATTGTTAATGAATGAACAAATTAATGTACTAACTAGTAATCTAAAATGTATAGTCCTAATGTATAGTCCAAGTCCACGCCCCTGTGCTTGTAGGGTTGCTTTTGAACTAATATTTTGACTGTTTTCCCAGTGGCATCCTCTTTTGATGGGCTTAAGGTATTTTAATCTATGTTTTGATGATCTAACAAACTTTCTGTATAGAACCAGATAAAGGACCTGAAGCATGCCTGGTACAATCATTCAAGTTAATCAACTCAAGACAATCTGGGCAGTGTGCCTTTAGATTCACAAGAACCTGGTTAGGGACCTGATCCATTGGTGCTCCCCTGACAGAAGTACAGGTCAACTATACAGCTGGAACGCAACTGCAGAAAGTGACTGTCTGTACAAAGAGGAACACAACAGGGACCTGGTCCCTTAGGATTCTCTGACAGAAGTACAAGTCAACTACAGCTAGAAAGCAACCGCAGAAAGTGACTGCCTGCAACCGTACACGTGACAGTGCAGCAGTCACTTCCCATTGAGAAGAAACATGTACTAATCAAGATTTGACATCACCATTGTGAATTGACATCACCATGGTAATGTCTTTTGTGGTATAACAACATGGTGCAAGGGATCTGATCGGTTGAACACTTGCAAATCAGAAAAGAAAACCTTCTCTCAAGTGCTAGGAACAGACTCTCTCAAGAACAAAGTTGCAGCAACCTCAAGGACCGGATCCAAGATTGAAGATATCTTAAGTCCTTAGGTTTGTTGAGTCTTTGTTATGTGTTCTTCATCGTAACTCCTATCCTGCTTTCTTAGAAGCGTTGATTAGGAAACCTTTTGTAAAATCCGTAAACTCTCAGAGTTTATGTTGTGACTAGGTTTAGTCATAAGTTAGAGTCTTCATTACTAGAGAGTGACAGAGTGGCTTGTGGTGAGAGTATCACAAGTTAGTCAAAAGCCTTCGTAACTGTAGAGTGACAAAGTGGCTTGTGGTGAGAGCATCACAAGTTAGTAAAAGTATTTGTAACTAAGGAGTCACAAAGTGGCTTGTGGTAAGAGTACCACAAGTTAGTTGAGTAAATTCTTTGTAATGGAGTCATTGCAAAGTGGCTTGTAATCGGTTTTTACAAGTTAGTGAAGTTAAAAGCCTACAGGTGTATTCGTGGTTTTTTGATCCCGTTGTGTGGGATTTTTCCATGTAAAAATCCTCTGCCTTATTTACGTACATTTTTATTAGCATTCTCAGCAGAATCTCGTAGAGGGCCAGGTACTCTATTGGTTGGTGGACTCACACAAACTAACAATTGGTATCAAAGCGGGTTCTTTCTAAAAGGTTAACACCTACAAAGGATCCTTATGGCTGCTCCACCATATCTTGAAAAAGGTACTGGAAGAACTTCCATTTTAAATGACAAGAACCTGGTGCTCGAAGGCGACATAAATGACTCAAGTGAGGAAGACAGTGACATGGCTTACCTAACCAAAAGATTTCAGAAGATGGTCGGAAGAAATAGAGAAATGCTAGAAAGGGGCAGCTCCAGCAAACCCAAAAACTATGATCTCTATCATAAGTGTGGAAAGCCTGGACACTTCATCAAAGACTATCCACTCTTGAAGCAAGAGTTCTCTATGAATAAGCCTGAAAAAACAACTAAGAGGAACCTGATGCCCTTCAAGGACTTCAAGAAAAAGAGATATGCTTGCATCGTGGTGAAACAGGCTCTTACATCATGGGTAGACTCCTTTGGTGAGTCTGAAGATGAAACTGATGCTGGTGATAGCTCCATGATGGCAAGTGAAAGCGAGGAAAATGAATATGACTCAACCTTTGCGTTGATGGCACAACTAGATGATGATGAAGACGATGACAACAAGGAGGTAAATTTCAGGGATGTTAAGAGAAATTTGAAATCCTACTCTCCTAAGAAACTCATGTCTTTAGCTAGTGTATTGATCGATGCCTATCATAGTCTTGTGGAGGATAGGGATTCCGTGATCTTAGAACTAGGAGAAGCTGAACAAACTAGAGATGACTTAGTGGTTGTAGTTATCGACCATAGGGAAACCATTCAAAACCTCAAAGAAGAAAGAAATGATCTCTTGACAGTAATTGCAAACCTAAGGGAAACAATAGAGAGACTGGAGATTAAGTCAAAACCTGAAAATTCTGGGAAAGGAAAGGAGATATCCAGTGAGGAACACTTTAGGCTTGAAAATGAGTTGAAAGCTGCTAGAACTAGGATATGTGGTGAACTCGAGAAAAATAGGCAGCTTCAAGCTGTATTGAAGAAAGTAAAAAATGATCTTAAAAAATCTCTCAAGTGGACCTGGTCCTCAGATGATGTCACTGCCATGCACTTCAACAACAGTGGAAACAGGCAGGGAATCGAGTTCAAAAAGGAGAAAACTCCTTACAACCCTCACAGCAAGTACGTCACAGTTCCTGATAACTGGCTTTGTACCCACTGTGGGAACAATGGGCACTTCAAAAAAAATTGCCAGGCTAGGGTTCAATCTGTACAGAAAAACAAAATCTTTGCTGAAAAAATGACTACTAAAGAGGGACCAGGTACCACTCGCAAAAAACGAGTACTGCTTGTATGGACTAGAAAAGCTCTCATTCATCCTTTTTATCATAACAAGGGACCCAAACTAGTTTGGGTTCCTAAATCTAACCCATAATTTAGATGTGCAGGGAACAGTGGGAGGAAGCGGACTGCGATGGATCATGGACAGTTGATGCTCAAAGCACCTAACTGGAAATACCATGGATTGTCTCTCACTGAAAGCCCTACAAGGAAGGGATGTACCCTTTGGAAAATGGAAAAAAGGGGTACATTATAGGTATAGGGAAGAAAACAAGGTAGAAGTTCGTGTCTAAGCTAGTGATATGAGCTGCTTGAATGCAGTTGATAATGATTCGAAGACTTGGCATAAAGGATTAGGGGGATACAAGTTCTCACTTCTGGATATATTGATGAAGAAGGACCTAGTCCATGGTCTGTCAAATTCAAAGTTCAAAGAACACGGAGCATGCAATTCCTATGGGAACACTGAGCAGGAGTGAAAAGAGGTATATCTTTGGGATTGTGGATGATTACTCAAGATTCACTTGGATACTGTTTCTGAGGACAAAAGATGAGACTCTCGAGGTTTTAATGGTCCTTGTCAAGAAGATTCAAGTGAAGATCAAATTGAAGGGAGAATGGATCAGATCTGACCACGGGATAGAATTCAACAACGTCAGACTTGATAAGCTTGTGACACAAAGAAATGGAATCACACACAACTCCTTAGCACCAAGGACTCCACAGCAAAATGGTGTTGCTAAAGGAAAGAACATAAGTCTGGAAGACATGGCATGGGCAATGCTCATCAATAATGGAATCTCCAAGAAAGTCTGAGCAAAAGCAATAAGCACATACATGCTACCTAGCGAACATGTGTATGATCAGGTCCCTCCTGGACAAAGCCCATTATGAGCTGCCAAATGGAAGAAAATCAAAGGCAACTCATCTGAGGACCTTTTTGAATAAAAATGCCATGTTCTCAACAGTAGGAAGGACCAGCTTGGGAAGTTTGATGCAAAAAGGCGATAAAGGAAACCTTCTGGGATACTCTCCACAAAGCAAAGGAGGTGAAGAGAGAGTTCATGTGCTATTCAACGAGACACCTTCATCTAACAAAGGAGGAAACAGTGATGATCAAGATAATGAACCACTTTTGGTCCCTAGGAAATACCTGATGTTTCAGAGGGGAAGGCTGATATGATGAGTGAGATGAAGGAGA